AAAGTATTTTATTGACAATACATATATAATACAAACATATAAGTTAACATTAAAGAAGATATTAGAACAGTATTGACAAAAGAATAAGACAACAGGCTTTGCCTATATCAGTCTTCTTCTAATTCCGGTAGATATGTACAATGCTTAAATATATAAAATGTTGTGATTCGTTTCCTCTCACACTCATGCACACCCACACCCACACCAGCTTATGTCTAATACTCGTTATTTAAGGGATAAAACTTGCCTGAATAACAATAATTATAACAATACATGAATATTCATTTGGAAATTTATCTAGCACGTATAAATAATGAAACGTTTTGATGATTTAATATAAGAGTCAACATGTATAAGAATAAACTATATCATAAAGGATAAACTATTGCGGAGGCGCATAGTCTAGTGGTAGGACGCCGGGCTCGTGACGGAAGCAGGTTAGAGTCACAGCAAGGCAATGTGTTGTATCTTTAACTTTTAGCAAGATACTTTACTCTGCTTATTCCACTTGAGACGATCGACCTATGAGCTAGGTTGTAATAAAGCAGTTTCTATAAGAAACTCAATTTTTCTATTATTTTTAAGGTTAGGATATGGTAAAGGCGACACCCCCCCCTAAGGGAAGTTGCCTTCCCTCATGCCGACAGATCACCGACCTCTGTCAGTGAGACAAAACCTGCAAGGGTGGAACATGTAGGCGATAAACCCGTCTAATTTCTTTTTTTTGTATTCATTGTACTAAATTACCATTGGTATATATCTATGTAATGTAAAGTGCTTTAGAGTGGCTTATGTTAGCTAGATAGGGTGCTGTATCAAATGATGTAAAAAAATATTATTTACTATAGGTTGTTTTTTTCATGAAACTTATAAATATGTGAAGTATACTTTTTTTTTCTTTTTAACATAAGTGTTTGAATGAAAGGAAAAAGTAATGAAAAGAAAATGAATACTTTTAATCAGTTATTGCAAAAAGATGTCATAGTAATTTATAAAACAATGTCACTGCAATGCTATCAAAACAATTCCTTCACTGGAAGACCCATCTAACCCAATCCATATACATCAAGTCAGGTTGACAGACATGAATTAAAATCTTCAAAAGCATTTATCATAATAGTGATTTTTTTGCCTAGTTTGACAGCCAAATATGTATATACAGGATGCTATCTCTAGCCAAAAATGAAGAAAAGTAAGAAATTTATGTCTTCCCTTATTTCAATGAAAATCGCACTATGTTGTTTTAAAATAGTAATATCAAAGTTTTACTTTATACACAAACAATGGACACGATTTATATGTACAGTACATTGTTTTGGTATAAGGTTAAACTATTTCCAATACTGATGCATTTATAGTCTTCTATAAGAAATAGGTAGAAAAAACAGTGCATTATTATATTTAACTTGGAGGAACAGATTACATTGTGCATAACTATAAGGGTTTCCTAACATTTTTAGATTTTAATGTGCGTGCATCACGGTTTCCTGACTTTTTCAGATATCACTGTGCATAAGTGTTTCCTGACTTTTTCAGATTACACTGTGCATAAGGTTTTCCTGACTTTTTCAGATTACATTTCTAATTACATTGTGCGTTATGTTTTCCAGACTTTTTCAGATAACACTGTGCGTTATGTTTTCCTGCCTTTTTCAGAAGCTGTGTCCATGCAGTAATGTGGTATACCATGGCCAATGCTCAGATGTCGTACCAGCTATCAGAACGGTTAATACGAGCAATCAGTAACTGGCAGACGTTTACAACGACCCCAGACAAGGATATCGAGGATCTCATCAACCAAGGTGCAGACGTGAACAGACTCCATGGAACTCTCCTACCTCTCCACTGCGCCTGTATGGTCACTGACATGGACACCCTTAAACTGCTGCTGGAGAAAGGGGCTAGGGTAAGAGCTGAACATAAGTCAGTTTCCTCTACTGTCCACTTTATTCCGTCTTTTCGTATTGCAGAGTTATCTGCACTTGTGAGCAGGTATAGATTGTTACGTCATTTGTTTGTGAGAGGAACGTCATCAATTTTTTAGAAAACTAGTAATTTTCTCACACAAACCAATGACGTAACAAGCAATACCTGCTCACAAGAAAAGATAACTTTGCAATACGCAAAGACGAAATACTAACTATAGACATTTCATAACTGACACCACTAATAATTTTGGATATTCATCTTTTGATCTACTTGCCTCTAGTAATGCTTATCTATCTACTGATTATAATTTATTTATTCTCTCAAAAGTTCAAAATTACATTTCTGCTACTAACAGACTGGACTGTTGTCATTACCTTTTGTATTTAATTATTTATTTTTTTATGGATTATTTATTTATTCAATCAGTTTGAATAATTCAGAGCTTGTGTGAGGGTGTATGTGCGAATGCTTATTTATATATGTGTGTATGTGAGAGTGTGTGTGCGAATGCTTATTTATATATGTGTGTATGTGAGGGTGTGTGTGCGAATGCTTATTTATATATGTGTGTATGTGAGGGTGTGTGTGTATATGTATGTTATGGAGTGTGGTCTGAGTGTACAAACATATATAGGATTTGCTAAGAAAGTTTTCAAATGTCATCAAATAATGTTTCTTTTTCTTTCTTATAATTATAACTTGGTTGAATGTTCTAGCCTATATGTTTGTAAGTGTATATGAGTGTGTCTTGTTGAGCAATGTATTAAATTTGTGCTTTCTGTCCATCTATACCGGTAAGGAGAAGACTTATACAGTTATATCCATTAAAATTTGTTGAAATCTAAAACATAAAGCAGTAAACTTGTGATAAACCTATACTTAGAGTATTCATTTACATGTTAACGTTATATCTGTGAAAATGACCTTTTTTAATATATTTAGGAGACATCATTGTTAAATGTTATTGAACTCAAAATTGTCATATTTGCAAAATATGTATATATAGCTGTACATGTACAATGTACTACCGTATTTTACTGATGAACAGGCGTGCCCCATTACAGACAGTGTAAGTGCCATACTTTCAAGTTTGATACCAAAGTTTTTTCTGCTTCAATTTTTAAAACAGCCACGTGTATGTATAAACTGGGAAAATTCATAGAAATTTGAATAAATATTGTTGATTTTTTTTTAATTTTTTGACAACACAGCGGATGGTGGTATAATGAAAACATTCTGGTTTTGGTTGTAAAACAAGTTGTCTGTTGCAACACAAAAATATGGTGGATTTAATTGGTGGAAATACAAATTCAGTTTGCTTCAATAGATTATTGTCTACATGATAAGCTGTTAAAGATTGCTGACATATATATAGCAAGTATTGTAATGCTCTCTTTCTACCCAGGCGATTTTCTCTGTGAATTTCGGAAATGCTTATGATGTAAATTGGGAAAAAACATTGACTTACTGACTTGGTGTGTGTCATTAAAAAACCAACACTGCTCATTTTAGTTGTTAGATGTTACATTGTCATCCGAAAACAAGATGGAAATTTTAAAAAATTAAATAAAAAAATTGAAAATGCCCCCCAAAAAATATAAAAAAAACACCCAAAAAACCTTAATACCAATAACTGTTAGTTCTGGATGTTACACACGATAAACTGTAAACCTGTTTCAGGTTAATGACGTGGATGGTTATGAAAGAGCCGCACTACACTACGCTGCAGAGAGAGACGCCCTGAGTGTAGAGATCCTCTTACAGAATGGTGCCGATCTGAACGCCAGAGACGGCAACCTTGACACTCCTCTACATTGGGCAGCATTCAAAAACAATATAGAGTGTGTTAAACTGTTACTACAGAAAGGGGCATATGTTGATGCCCAGGACTATAATTTGGACACGCCTCTAAGCTGGGCCTCCAGAAAGGGCCATTTAGCAGTTATTGAGTTACTTTTAGAATATAACGCCTCTGTAGACCTGAAGAGCCTTCATGGACACACGCCTCTGATGCGGGCAGCTATGATACAGGCTACTGGACTAAACACAGATGCTGATGATGCATGTCTGGAACTACTTCTAAAGGCTTCCGGACAATTTGATCTACGAACAGACAATGGACAACTGCGGAGCAAGGTTGAACAGGACAATAAGCTCAGGGAGATGTTGATTCCTTTATGTGAAAATGTGCGAACATTACAGGATATATCTCGACATGCTGTACGACAGAAATTGGGATATAGATTCCTGCCCAATATTATACCCAAACTACCTATACCTCAGCAACTGCGGGAGTTTGTTTTACTGCAAAGATGAAAATTTAAACCTCAACTTGCAGAATTTTACTTTTATTTTATTTATAGCAGCTTTTTAGGTTTTAAGCTAATTGTAAAAATTGAAATGTAAACAAATTCTATACTACTGAAAAAATGGTATGCTCTAAACAATAATACATAAAGCAGAATAGATCTTCACACACTATTTTATTTACAGTTTTATATGCTCATTCAACTTTATTTTCAGTGGAGGAGGGGGGTGAATATGCATTTAGTGTATCCCATGCGTGTCCTGTCCAATCATGTCATATCACGTCTCTCATATACACCATCCTGTTGTAATATATTGCCATAACTCTTCAGACTTAATTTCGTCATATATTTTAATCAAAGTTTATACAAAAATATAAGTATGACAATACCTCATATGAGTTTGTGTTTCTGGATCCAAAGGTCGCTGTTGCTATTTATCGAAACAAAATAATGGATAAGCCACAGGGTGAAGAGGGCAATTCTCTTTTTTTTTTTTTTTAAATGTGAAAATTCAAACAACTAAAATAAGCTTTCAAATGAATTGAACATTTGGCAAAGAAGATGTGTGCATGTAACAAAAGTGATATTACATTGTAGGTCTTAGCCTTTGGTGGCAAACAGGAGAGTTCAACTGGTACAATGGGGTGCAACATTGAAAGGCTAGGGTTAACCTGTACATTTTAGTTTCTTCTTGCTCATGATCATTAAACAGATCCTTCTGCAAGATTCCTTATTTTGGCAGACACAAATTTCAGTGTATTATCAAATTTTAACTGATTAGCTCATTGATAAATTGGCACACTCACATGAAGTGCTATTGAAAACTATATACAGAAACACTAATTAGCCAGATCATAAATTAGCTTTTTAACTGAATAGATCATTGATGAATTGGCACACTCACATTAAGTTATATTGAAAACTATATTCAGAAACACTAATTAGTGAGATCATCAATTAGCTTTTTAACTGAATAGATCATTGATGAATTGGCACACTCACATTAAGTTATATTGAAAACTATATTCAGAAACACTAATTAGTGAGATCATCAATTAGCATTTTAACTGATTAGCTCATTGATGAATTGTCACACTCACATGATGTGCTAATGAAAACTATATACAGAAACACTAATTAGCGAGATCATCAATTAGCATTTAATTTGATTAGCTCATTGATGAATTGGCACACTAAGTCACATTATGTGCTATTGAAAACTATGTACAGAAACACTAATTAGTGAGATCATCAATTAGCTTTTTAACTGAATAGATCATTGATGAATTGGCACACTCATATTATGTGCTATTGAAAACTATATACAGAAACACTTATAAGCAAAATCATGAATTCGGGCAATGTTTAAAGCACGAAAAGTGCTAATATTAGAGACACTAAAATATCTACGCTTACAATATTTGGAACACATAAATTATGAAAATCGTTAGCACTAACAAAGATACAAACCCTGGAGTGCACCCTTCTACATTTTTGCCCATATACACAAAGGTATCTTCCTCACTTTGTCCAGCTGTCGTCTGTTGGTAGTAGAACTGGTTAATTATATGTATCTGAACTAAATAGGACGTGAATCATGTTATCCATTTTATCATATTTTAAATGTGCTGAAAAGCATAAATGCTTTATGCAACTTGATCAAGAAAAATAGTAAATGATGGTGACTACTTGCTGAATTTCGTTTCATTTATGTATATTGTATTTCTGTTACAATCTAATTAAAATCAGATCTGAATTCCCGTTCCTCTACGATACTCTAATGTTAGAGTATCGTAGAGGAACGGGAATTTGGATCTGATTTTAATTAGTTTGATACTGTTGTGTCATGCATTTGTTTTTGAAGGGTTTTTTTAAACTATTTTTTGAAACCACTTATTTTTTTAAAGAAACTCTGATTATGATTTCTGTCTAGACTTCCATGCTAATTTTAGAATGGTAACAAAATTATAAATTATGATATTTTTTTGGTTGTGATATATTTATGAATTCTTTAAAAAAAAAATGGATGAGTAATAAAAATAAGAGCACTTATATCTGAAATCTGTCTGTCTTTGTTTAGACAAAAGTTTGTCCAGAAAATATTTTCTAAAGCACAATTGTAGTGTTTGATTTGCTGTTCAGAATGCCATTTATATTTTGATGTCTTTTATATATACTAGAGTTATGTCCCTTTTTGTGTAAAAAAGCATGTACGAAAATTAAACTCTCAACAAAAAAGTCCAGCAGATTTTAATGAAACTAGACACATTTGATGAGTTCCTTATAATTATGCACTGATAAATTGTTTCTCATTGTGAACGTTTCTTGGCCAAACAGACTATATATTAGCCTTGTCTAATTGGGGTCTAAACAGACTACTAATAAGTTTTGCCTAAAAATGGAGTCCAGAAAAACTATAAATTAGCCTTGACTTACCATGGAGTCTAAACAGACTATTAAGTAGTCTTGACTTAAAATGAAGTCTAAACAGACTATTGATTAGCCTTGACTTACAATGAAGTCTAAACAGACTATTGATTAGTCTTGACTTAAAATTCTTCTTATCAACAATTTTCACAAATGTGTGCAAATTGCTTATTTGGGTGAAGGGTCCTGGATCATTGTTTTCATTATGTGAAAGTATTTTTTTAAGTGTTTTGCTGAAAAATATTGATATTATATATACACTGGAGTTTATTCACACTTTGAAAAGTTGATATTAGGGGATGCCTTTAATGTCAATGCACTTGTGGCAGATTTTTATTGTGCATAGGGATACAACCACTTTCTAGATGATTTATGCAAGTGGTAATTTCCTTTTGGCTCAACTGTTTGTGTGGCAGACTGGGGACCAGCATGGTTGCCTGGTTTGTTTGTGTGACAGACTGGGGACCAGCATGGGTCCCTGGTTTGTTTATGTGTCAGACTGGAGACCAGCAAGGGTCCCTGGTTTGTTTGTGTGACAGACTGGGGACCAGCAAGGGTCCCTGGTTTGTTTGTTAGGCAGACTGGGGACCAGCAAGGGTGCCTGGTTTGTTTGTTAGGCAGACTTGGGACCAGCAAGGGTCCCTGGTTTGTTTGTGTGGTAGACTGGAGACCAGCAAGGGTCCCTGGTTTGTTTGTGTGGCAGACTTGGGACCAGCAAGGGTCCCTGGTTTGTTTGTGTAGCAGATTGGAGACCAGCAAGGGTCCCTGGTTTGTTTGTGTGGCAGACTTAGGACCAGCAAGGATGCCTGGTTTGTTTGTGTGGCAGACTGGGGACCAGCAAGGGTGCCTGGTAAGTTTGTGCGGCAGACTGAGGACCAGGAAGGGTCCCTGGTTTGTTAATGTGGCAGACTGGAGACCAGCAAGGGTCCCTGGTTTCTTTGTGTAACAGATTGGAGACTAGCAAGGGTGCCTGGATTGTTTGCGTGGCGGGCTGAGGACCAGCAAGGGTCCCTGGTTTCTTTGTGTAGCAGATTGGAGCCCAGCAAGGGTCCCTGGTTAGTTTGTGTGGCATATTGGAGACCAAAAAGGGTCCCTGATTTGTTTGTGTGGCAGACTGGGGACGAGCAAGGGTCCCTCGTTTGTAAGTGTGGCAGACTGGAGACCAGCACGGGTCCCTGGTGAGAGCCCACTCTCTTTCCTGTTACAAATGGTGTCTGTTGCCCTCCTTGTGTTGACAGGGAAGTTGAAATAGGGTTGTTAGGGTGTTCAATCATGAACACATTTCAAAGAGAAGGGTCCAGGAAGTTTGGTAAATTTAAATTGTACAAATGATGACTGTCACCTTCTCGCTTAACATTGAAGGAAATTTCCCTTACGCTCAATCGGAAGATAGTGGCAGAGTGGAAAGCTGAGGTCACTGGAGTCACTCAGGTGATTGAGGTCACTGGGGTCACTCAGGTGACTGAGGTCACTTGGGTCAATCAAGTTACTGGGGTCACTGGTGTTTTCCTTGATGGAAGCACACTACCCTCTTTCCTGTTATACACTTTTAATATGCATTGTAAGCCTCTCACAATGTATGATGGGATATTGGAGAGGGATTGATTGTAATCTTTAATAAAATGTTATATCTAAATGAAACTGGTGTACTTCAAAAAGACAAATTTACATTAAAGGTAACTGTTGACTTGTTATTGAATGTTGTTTTGTTTCAGACAAATGGTTTAGATAGACATGTATGTTAATTTAACAAATTTATTTGTTTTAACCTTCATGGAAGTCATTATTAAAATAAATAAAATCACACATTTTTAGAATTGTTTTTAGGTCAACTCACCGAAGGAGCAAATCAAGCTTGCGCCATGGTGCAACGTCTGTCATCAACTTGTTTTCTTTAAACAACTTATTCTCCATAACCATTAGGCATAGGGTGATGATATTTGGCCAACTTTCAAGGTCACATGGTAAAATGTATTAAAATAGTTAAATTTGAAAACCATCTGAAGTTGATGATATTTGGCCTTAAATCTCATTAAAAGTATGATTACAAATAAGGTCCAATGGATACAGCCAGTCCCCAGAGGTAATCGTGGTATTGTATGTGTAATCAAATTTTCATTGCAGAGAACGAAATTGGGCGTAACCCCTGAAGTATCAATGGACAAACACCACAATACGCCATACGCTCTTCCTGGTCCTTTCGACCAGATGAGTTTAATATATCTTCATGTGTACAGTAATGGTTGTTCCAAAACCTGTAAGAAGCACTCAAAAAACTTACAGAGAATATTTCAGTCTCTAAAGCGTAACATTCTAGTGCCTAGTTTATAAACTGTTTTTTTTTCTCTGCATTTTTCGCTTAAGCTTATAGATCACTAGGATGTTTGCAAAGATACGTACAATGTATTAGATTATTACATTAGAGACTGACGTATACAATGTATTAGAATATTAAATTAGAGACTGAAGTATACAATGTTTTAGAATATTACATTAGAGACTGAAGTATACAATGAATTAGAATATTACATTAGAGACTGAGGTATACAATGTTTTAGAATATTACATTACAGACTGAAGTATACAATGTATTATAGTATTACATTAGAGACTGAAGTATACAATTTATTATAATATTACACTAGAGACTGAAATATACAATGTATTAGAATATTACAGTAGAGACTGAAGTATACAATATATTAGAATATTACATTAGAGACTGAAGTATACAATGTATTAGAATATAACGTTAGAGACTGAAGTATACAATGTATTATAATATTACATTAGAGACTGAAGTATACAATGTAACCAAACTCTTTGTAGGTTTAAGTCTGTGCAGGTTAAAACAGTCAGATAAAATCTCAGTACTATCAGGTGTACCTTAAGGAACCTGTTTAGGCCCCATCATTTGACGACCCACCCAAATACATAAAACGCAGCATTGTAAGAGGACATACACGTAGCAGGAAAATGGGCACAAGACTGGCGTCATCCTCAATGTTCCAGGAGTTACACTTGCTTTCCTTCTCTGTAACCCCTGGAATATGTCATAACAAAAATCGATGGTTCAGTGTGCACCAACTTGCGAATGATGCAAGAAGACTAGTTTGAACGGTTGATATACACAAAAATAATATCGCAGCCGCGTAACGGTAAAATACACTGGCTTCGAAGTCGGGTGTCGTCCCTTTGTAATCTTTTAAGGGATATGTATGAAACTAAATAACACTTTACTCCAACGTCCTACCGACCAAATATAGAAAGCCTTTATATTTTCTTATCAAAACGGAAATTTTCAAAGCCTTAACACATTCGATCTGGTCATTCAAATATTATCGTCAAAGCATCGTGGTCAATATTTCAACACATTTTACTCCTGTGAAACTATGTCAGGGTCATTAATGTGAACAAACTTGTTAACTTGGCATCTCCTTATGCTAATAGACAAATATTACTTTCCTATCATTATTAATTATTTAGAAAAAAATCCATTTCAAAAAAAAAAATCCATCTTTGAAATGTTTAAATATTGTGACTAATAGCCTTAGGGTTAGCCTTAGACCTCTTAGTAAATCAGATGTCATATGAAGATTTAAAAAATTGAGCTGTAGGATTTTGAAAAATTGAATATTAGGTTTTTGAAAAAGGATCAGTGTCTTTAAGGCTTTGATATGATCTAAGCATATACATGTTCATATATCATTTATCAAATTGCCGTTTTCTAGCCAACTTACAATAAGATCAGAAAATGTTCAGGGCTATATTTTGTTCAACATCCCCGATGCAGTCATTCACAAGGAAATATTACAATTTTCCACTTAACTTCTCGTAAGTCCTTGTCCCGGGTTTAATCATAATTTTTAAAAAACAAATACTTCCTTATGGTATTTTCCGAATCTCTGAAATTGAATCGGTACAGTTGACTGTAAAAGAACTGCAGTTTACATAGATCTTCAGAGATGGCCTGACGCATTTAGACACTCCTTGGAGATCAGCCTAGGCATTCTGCATTTTTAAAATAGCTGTTGCCTTGACCAAATGAAATGGACAGGTATGATTTCTATTCATTTTTTAAAATCATGATTAGGTCAAAAATCTATTAACCAATTAAGTCTTTAATCAAGATGAAAATTATTCCATTTTCTATTGTGATGTTGTTCATATATATATATTAACTCATCGTATATATTAAACTTCATCATATATGTATTAATTCATCTTATATCTATTTATTCATCTTATATTCATCTTATATCTATTTATTCATCATATTTGTATTATTTCATCATATATGTATTATTTCATCTTACATTGCATGTGTATCAATTCACGAGATATGTATATTTTCATTTTATCAGATATATATTAATTGATCAAACACAATGTATATGTATTAATTAGGGCTTTTCACCAACGGGTGAAAAAAAGACCAATTGTATTTGATCTGTTTATTCTTCTTCTTCTTCTTCTTCTTCTTCTTCTTCTTCCTCTCTTTAAGATCTTGAGACCGACTTTCCTTCTAAATAGTTATAGGCATGAACATGATATTTTGCCAGGTTGTAGGTAATAGTTTGGAGATGTCATGGCCAAATTTTCAAGTTGATCAAAAATTCAATATGGTCGCCATGGCCTATAAAGTGATTTGTTTACCTATTTAGCTCACATGGCCATGCCATGGCAAAGCGTCCGTTGTCCGTCGTCCGTCGTCCATCAACTTTTTCCTTTAAAACGTTACTAGTCCTTAAAGGCTCAGAGGATTTTGACCAAATTTGGCCTGAAGCATCATTGGCCACAGGGTTCTAAGTTTTGTATAAACGGAGGGTAAGGTCCTCCTGGGGGCAGAGGGGCGGGGCCAAATAGGTAAATCTTTAAAAATCCGCTACTTCTCAACCAATAGAAGGATTTTGACCAAATTTGTTCCAGAGCATCTTTGGACAAAGCAGCCTCAAGTTTGTATAAACAGAGGGTGTGGCCCCTCTGGGGGCAGAGGGGGGGGACCCAATTGGGGGAAATACAGGTATTGTTTTCTCCTACTACACAAGTGAAGGGATTTAAACCAAATGCAGTCTGAAGCATACTTAGGGACAAAAGAATCAATTTTGTATAAACTGAGGTGTCTGGATCCCTTCTTTAGGGCAGATGGATGGGGCCTATTATGGGAAATAGAGGAAAACATTAAAGATCCTTCTCCTTCTGTAGCGATGAAGGGATTTTATCTTTTGGCAAAGGGAATTTAATATCTATAAGTGGAAGATGTGCCCCCAATGTACATTATGTACTGATAGAGTGTGGTCGGGGCTAAATTTGACCCATGTCATGTACAGAGGAAAAAAGGTCAAGTTTCAATTCTCGCCATGGGGTCAAAGGTCACCTATTTTTAAAACTTTTCATTTTTCAGTTGTTTTTTTGCAAAAATTCTATTTGTAATCGATAGTAAATGGCTATTTGATCAATTTGATATATTTATTGTTTCTGAAACATTTCCCGTTAACGTCATATGACGTGTTCATTATTGACTTTGATCTTTTTGAAAAGCTGACAATATTTTAAGAAACTTCAACGATCTTCTTCTCCAAATCTGCCATTACCATATTAACCACAATTGGAACATGTTTTCTTCTGGATGCCCTTACGAACTTATGTTACTTTTTGGAGCAATTGATATTCTGAGATGGCCGCCACAAACTCTGATTTGTTAACAGCCTATACCGATATATTTCGTTAACGATATTAAGCACGAGATTGATTTTTGTATATCATATAATAATAAGCGAGGGCAAACTTTTTCTCTCATATTATTTTAGCAAAAAAGTCAACTTCCGGTTTACGCTAGGGGTCAAAGTTCAAATGCAAAATGCACTATATTGGATATCAAATTTAAATAAAACACTTCTTCTTAAGTTCTACGAGGTGTAGAGTTTTGATATTTANTGAATTTAACTCATTCATCCCTACATATTTGCATATTTACGTCTCCACAACAATAAATTATGATGTAACAATCAGCTTTGGACTGGGACGAGTCGATTGCAACTCAGAATAAAACATAGATTACAAATTCTGATAACCTTTTTCTCAAATACATTATTGATAGGATAGGAGAAAATGCATTGAAGTTAATGCCGAAACATCTTAACCCTCGGGATGAGATTGTTGAATGTATAACCCTCTACTTGAGGCAAGCTTCGGGTTAGACAATGAATAATATCATAGGCCATATGTTTCTTTTACCCTGGACAGCTGTATCCTTGTCGCCCCATTCATAACAATTTTATGACGCAACGTCAACAATGCATAACGCCACATCATCAATACACTGAGCCTGGATTGTTAACGTTGCATTATGTATATGACAAGGTCAACAGGGCAAGAGAAAAATCTGTCGCCCCCTTAAGGTGAGATGGGGAATCTGAACCTTCGGATAAAGATTTTAAGCTGCCAAATCACTCGGCAAGCCTCGTGTTTAGAAACTTAAGAATATTCCCCTCGGTTCGAGATTCCCATATCTCAACCCTAAGGTGGTATAGGTTTTGTTATTCTTCACAATGCAGAAGCGAGAGGCAAAACGTATTGTCTCTTCTTCATTTATTTTTTCCTAAAGAACAAGGGATTCAATGTAGAGCTCGACGTATCTTTGTATATCACTAGTATGCAATACATTTGCAATGCACATCTTTTCCCCAAAAGTAATCTATCGTCATGTACGTGTTAATAAATCTTGAACAGTACTACGTCAATAAATCAAATAGGTCATTGTGACTTATATTTCCGCATATACTGATTCATCACACTATATTCCAGTTAATCAAATGGGGATATACACAATCAATTGTATGAATTTTTGTTTTTGTTCTGCTTTATAAATTATATTCTTTTGTTTTTGCAGACTTCGCCGACATACAGCAATAGAGGGTCCTCCGTGGGATATTGAAAATATTTCTGTGTTGATCTCAAGATTGATTGAAAGGAATATGATGGGGACAGAGGAGGACATTCGATTCAGGAGGAGAGCAGTGCTTATAAAAGCACGAATATATAACACTCCCAGCAATGCGTTTAAAAAGCTGCTCTGCGGAAGTCAAAGTGAAGGACTTTACCTGCGTGGTTCAGATTTTGACTTCATGTTTGTACACAATGATGTGGTGGCCTTGTATCCTGGACAAATTGTTCCTCCAGAAGACGCACACAAGACTGTGCTGTATGTGAAAGAGTCTGACTGCCGACCTGGATATGTGGCCTTACAATTAGGTCATATTGGACAAAAATGTGATATCTATCTATTTAATTCACTTGTTCCAGTTGGACATGTTATATTTGTCTCTAGTGACATGTACAGAGAACAAATTGTCAACCAACGAACAACGCAAACAGGATTTCGTCATGTATCTAATGGTCCAAGCTGTTCAACTGGAGATGTGGATCATGTCAGATGCTTTCACTTTAACAGTTGGCCAAGGGAGGCTAACCAATGGATGACACGTCCTCGTCTGTATGGATGGCCAACACAAGTATTGATTGACAGAGTTGTACAGAGTGGTTGCCATCTTGTCCCAGTAGGGGACAAATGTTCCGAAGACACGCTATTACAGTGGCGGATATCGTTTGCGTCAGCGGAGAGACTATTAGTTCACTCTTTTAGTCACATACAAATGAAAACTTACTGTTTCCTGAAATATTTCTTAAAACAAATGAAAGATACATTACGAGATATCATTGGGAAAGAAGATGATGATATTTTGTGTTCTTATCATTTAAAAACACTTTTGTTTATTTCAGTGGAACACTCAAATCCAAAACTCTGGCAAGAACAAAATCTGTTTTATTGTTTCTGGTTTTGCTTCAACATTCTGATCTCTTGTGTTAAAGTAGGACACTTTCCAAACTACTTCATCCCTACCAACAACATGTTCCAGAGAAAGGTTCATGGAGAAAATCAACAAAAACTATTTCACATGCTGAACGTGTTTCATACAGAGAAGTTACTTTGCCTTTCACATACATCTAGGACATTCAGTGAGGTTAGTATGCTGGAAACTGTTTCTAATTTTGAAATACAAACCGAACTAAATCGAACACAAACTGTACAAGAAATGGAATACAGACGGGATATGAATATTAAACGAACGCTGGAGATAAATAAGCTTTCCTTCGGGGATTGCACACCTCTGACAATTACAAGATCAATTAATTTACAAATGAAATCTGTTTCGGAGCTAGATGAATTAGTCGCTTTTGCGACTACTGTTGGTATAGTATCCACGGCAGCAAAGAGAGAAATCCATCAAGACCTTGTCGCAGGGTCTACCAACAACAAGACCAGGTACCGTACCTTGAGGAAGTGTCAACACCGACTGACACTATGTGCTTCAATGGGTACATACCTGCTGGACTTGGCAACTCTGCACTTCCTCACAGGTAATTACTTGAAAGCCCAAGAGATGTGTGGACGCATAACTTCACAGCCATCGTATTTCGCCCATACTGGTATATTATTACCACAAAATCAAGCAGAAATATATAAGCAGCAATACTGTGGGAAAGGATACACCTCAATTCATAAACTGAATAAAATATTCACAGATGATATCCATCTGCGAAAAGATATTATACACCTACCCCATCTCCGCCCGGAGATATCAAGAAGCCGATCTGGTGTGTGGATTCCGCCACTACCGTATGCTGCGTTCTTGTCTTTCATGAGCTGCAATGAGCTCAAGGACAGAATAGGATGTGACGTATCACTACGAAACCTGATACAGGTCAAGTACGATGACCTTCAAGGAGGACATAGCCATTGGATAGTGTATACACTGCTGGGACTATGCTACCAGACGTTTGGGGACTATCCCAGGGCCATCCGTGCTTACTGGGACTCAGCTCAAACAAAGACAGAGTATCATGAGCAAAATCCTGCACTGGAGAGGATCGCAGCTATACAGAGATTTAACACTGAGTAAACAATTGTTTCTAGACTCTGGTATATTGTTTCTAGTCTACTTTTATAATATCCAAGTAAAATAATGATTGAATAAGAAACATTTGTGAAGGGAAAGTGAAACCGAGAAACAAGAGCTGTATATAAGAGGCATTTCTTTTCACGATTTTCCTAAAACTGTATGACAGCACACCACTAGCTAAAATATATGACTCGATGCCATTTTAGTTCCTCAGAAGTCGAATGAAAATTTGAATAAATTTGACACCTTTGACCTTAAATTTCTGTCAAAACAACTTTTAACAAACTCTGCAGCACAACATTTCAGCAAACTGTTGGTCAAGTTTATTGTCAGTATGCCTTTACGTTCTTTAGTTTGGGTGTTTTAACAAATTTGAACCCTGTAAACTTGAATATGGGTCAAGGTCATTTCTTTTCAAAATGTATATGGCACTACGTTTCAGCAAGATGTAAGCCATCTATCAATGACTCAAAGCATTATTATCAATAAGAAGAATCTATATGAGTTGGTGTTGTTTGTTTTTTTACATATATTTCCCCTGTGACCTTTAATATAGGTTAATATTACTTCTTTTCTCAAACTTTGTAGCACTTATTGCAAGCAAGCCACTAACTATACATAACGAATCCAGGCCTTTTGGTGTTGCAGATCATACAGTTCAAGTGTTTAGCATATTTGACCATAGTGGCATTGAATATAGGTCAAGGTCATTTCTCTTCACGAATTTTTTAGTACTCTTTTTAGCAAGCTACTGGAAACATACAAACTTTATGGTTTTTGATTCTTTAGACAAAGCTATTTCAACAGATTCCTAATTACATGCACGATAGGCTTCGCAATGCTAGCAAGCAAATAGCGATTTATCATGACTCTGGACCGTTTGGTTCATTTTTGATAACCCATGCCGCCAAGCTCTTGGCATTGTTCATGAAATGCACCACCGGGACAATCTACACAGTAAAGCTAGACATTCAAAATGTAGTGATGACTGGGCTCTATACCGAGCTTGTAGAAACCGTGTATTGGTGAAGATAAGACAAGCCAAGGCTGATTGTTTAGAAAGGCTATTACCCAAAACTCTCATAGTTCTAAAGATGTTTGGGGGAAAAAGAGTTTTTACCTAGTAAAAAAACAAGTTATACAATTAAACGTGATGTTGAGGGTAAAACTGTTTCAGAAAAAAAACTTGATATTGCAAACACTTTTAATGACTTTTTCTGAAATATTGGTACTGAGATTGGGGAGGAATTCGATGACAGTTTACCTGAGGTTGAAACGTTGGAAACTGAAAACCAATATGCAATACCAAAAATTACATCTGAGTTTATTTACAAGTGTTGATGGTATGTCGGCAAAGTTATTGAAAAGTGCCGGTCCTTCAATTCTGTCACCAATTTTGTTTGTTCAATAAGGCAATAACTGAAGGTGTATTCCCCACTGAGTGTAACAAGTCCAAGGTCGCTCCCTTTTTTAAAGCTGGTGACCCCACTTCTGTCAATAAATATAGGCCTGTGGCGGTATTATCGGGTCTATTAAAAATATTATACATGACACTTTCTATGATTTTTAACAAGAAACAAACTAAAAAGTGACTGTCAGTTTACTTTTAGACCACATCATTCTACTGAAGCAACACTTCTAAGTTTTGTTGATAAATGGCTTAAAGACATAGATCAATACTATCTCACGTGTGTCCTCTCTATTGATCTTCTTAAAACCTTTGATACGGTAAATCATAAGGTTGTAAGTTTCGGAAATATTTTGTCCAACTTTCAACCAATAATTATTGGTGTCCCGCAGGGCTCAATTTCGGGACCATTGATGTCAATATTAAATATAAATGATTATTCTAAGTGTCTGAAGCATGCATCAGATATCATGTATGCAGGACGTCAGAAATAAGATTGTTAAAGTGTTGGAAGAAAAAATGACACAAGATTTAATGTAGTGATCTTGTAGTTAAGATTGATGATTTTACCATTGAAACTGTTAACCGGGCCAAACTTCTAAGCGTTTTTAAAGATAATTGTTTATCATTATCATGGAAAGAACATGTGCAATATGTATGTAAAAAGTTGTCAAAAAGGTTTCATGTCTAATGAAATTCTTCTGAAGGTATACAACAGTATTGTGTTTTCGCATTTTATCTATTGTTCGTCGGTGTTGAGAACTCCAAATAATAAGATATATATTAATAATATTTTTAAACTGCAGAAAAGAGCTGTAAGAATTTTACTCAATGTTAGAAATATCTTAACTCCTACTTGTTCTCTGTATGAAATCCTAGGATGGATGCCTGCGTCTGACTTTTATGATTTTAGAATACAAAATTTTAAAGTGTGATATTCCAGGTGTTTTACGCAATATTCTTTCTTATGTAAATGAGGTCTCTGCTAGATCTTCAATGACATCATTTTCAGAGAAACTGTATGTACCTTTAGCTAGAACAAACTATTTTAAGAGATCTTTTACATAATGCTCTGTATTTTGGAATGGAATAAACAGCAGTGTTAGAAATTCATGCAGAGAGAATTATAATGTGATACTTGATTCAAATAGCTTTTACAGCCTGTTATATTTAATTGTGTGATTATTATAAATTATTATTATATAAACATGTTGTACATATACGTTAATGCATGGCCATATTGTAAATAAGACTTGTCTAAATTATGTCACCCTGGGACAAACATTACCCTTGAGAGTATGGTGTTCTTGAAAAAGCTGTTGGAGTGTTAAACAGATTTGAACCCTGTGACCTTAAACAAAGGTCAAGGTCATTTCTTTTCACATTTTAGCATTCATAGCCGGCAAGATACTGGCCAAATATAGTGAGTTGCGTCTCTGGATCAAGGTCAAGTTAAATTTTGTTCGCATCCTTCGTAGAACTACATGACATGAAGTTACTGGAGAAATATCATGACTCCAGGCCTTTTGGCTCCTCCCTAAGAAAAAAGAAGTTTGAGCGTTTAACTATTCAATTGTCCCCTACTGGCCCCATTTAGACACATATATTGATTTCCTTTGCAAACTTTGTAGTATCAAAATCATCCGACGGCTGGTTCGTTACAAGAAGATTTGATGAGATACCTTAAACCTTATTCACATGTATGAATCCTCATCACATAATGATATTTCCTACCAAACTTGGTTGTGATTGACCTGGTTGTTCTTGAACAAAAAGAGGTTTACGGACAGCATTAGCTCCTTTGAGCCAGGTGAGATTACAAGCTTACTGCTTAGTTATTGACCTACCGTCAACCGTAGGAGTCACGGTAGTCTAGTGGTAGGACACCGGGCTGGTGACCGAATGGTTGCGGATTCGAGTCACGGCACGGCACTGTGTTGTATCTTTGACCAAGATGCTTTACTCCGCTTGAGTACGTGATTGAGCAGTGCTAGAATTGTTGAATGCTAGCTGTAAGCGCCGAAATGGCAGCACCGGCTGTATGCTCCCCCAGGGAGTTGAGAAAGATATTGTCTGGTTGCAAAGGCCCTATAACCACGGATACTAATTCGTGAACCGCTTTGAGACGACCTACGAACTAATATAAAGCGGTATATAAGAACCTCGAATTATTTTTATTATTATAACGTAAATGCTTACTTCTAAGCTCGTTTTCATGAAACCTTTCTTATACTCAATCATGGATTTTGTACTCAAATCGACTCTCTGATAATGCCCTTAAATCACGTGACATGTTCACAGAAATCAAATGTAAAGTGATTGAGAATTTTGGAATTTTCATTAATTTACCACGAGAACAAAAAATTGGGCTGAAGCACAGAATTTGTGAGTATGAGAACTGTTTCATGAATAATGGGCCCGTCTGCATGCAACTGTTCTCATGCTCAAACAACAATAAAAAAAAGTTTTATTTAAACATTGAAAACAATATTAAGCTTTATGTCTCTGCGAGCTTTTTCCAAATTGAAAATTAATTCATAACTGAAACGAGAAATTAGCTTTGAGCACAAAAAAAAACATGCTTGAGCATGAAACGGTTTCATGAATACGGGCCCAGATCCTGATCATTTATCACATGTCTGAGTTAACGCCAAATGTTAATTTGCATTCATTATTATATCTACAAGATTAGTGTATTCTGTTAATATTGTTGAACCTTCTTTAGACATTCATCTTTTTAATTCAGCACGCAATAAAAACAATAACACTTTTCAGTAAAAACGAGTGCAGTGTCTTGTATGTAGAAATGGTTTTTTATCCAAACAAATACCTTATGGTGATCAAATTCGACATTAATCATTATCGATGACGAAGGGTACCCTTACCACTACCAAAAACTGTAACTACACACTGGAAACTGTTCATTGCAGAACTTAAAAAATATATATTTGAAGATGAAATAAACAAAATACAATCAACAAACAGAGTTTCAAGACTGTGGACCAGCAACGGTCCCTGGTTTGTTTGTGTACAAGATTGGAGACCAGCAATGGTCCCTGGTTAGTTTGTGTAGCAGATAAGAGACGAGCAAGGGTCCCTGGTTTATTTGTGTGGCAGACTGGGGACGAGCAAGGGTCCCTGGTTTGTTTGTGTGGCAGACTGGAGACGAGCAGGTTAATGGTCCCTGGTGGGTGCCCACTCTCTTTCCTGTTACAAATGGTGTCTGCAGCCATCCCTGTGTTGACAGGGAAGTTGAAATAGGGTTGTTGTGGTGTTCAGTTATAAACACATTTCAAAGAGAAGGGGCATGGAAGTTTGGTAAATTTAAATTGTACATATGATGACTGTCACCTTCTAGCTTAACATTGGAGGGAATTTCCCTTAAGCTCAATCGCAAGATAGTAGAAGAGTGGAAAGCTGAGGTCACTGGGGCCAGTCAGGTGACTGAGGTGACTGAAGCCAATCATGTTACTGGGGTCACTGGTGTTTTCCTTGATGGAAGCACACTACTCTCTTTCCTGTAATACACTTTCAATATGCATTGAAAGCGTCTCACAATGTATGATGGGATATTGGAGAGTGATTGATTATAATATTTGATAAAGTGTTATATCTTAATGAAACTGTTGTACTTCAAAAAGACAAATTTACATTTAAGGTAACTGTTGGCTTGTTATTGAATGTTGTTTTGTTTCAGACAAATGGTTTAGATAGACATGTATGTTAATTTAACAAATTTAATTGTTTCAACCTTCATGGAAGTCATTATTAAAATAAATAAAATCACACATTTTTAAAATTGTTTTTAGGTCACCTCACCGAAGGGGCAAATGAAGCTTGCGCCTTGGTGCAACGTGTGTCATCAACTTGTTTTCTTTAAACAATTTATTCTCCATAACCATTAGGCATAGGGTGATGATATTTGGCCAACTTTCAAGGTCACAGGGTCAAATGTATTAAAATAGTTAAATTTGAAAACCATCTGAAGTTGATGATATTTGGCCTTAAATCTCATTAACAGTATGGTTACAAATAAGGTCCAATGGATACAGTCAGTCCCCAGAGGTAATCGTGGTATCATATGTGTATTCAAATTTTCATTGCAGAGAGCAAAATTGGGTGTAATTCCTTTAGTACCTATCGATGGACAAACACCACAATACACCATACGCTCTTCTTGGTCCTTTCGACCAGGTGAGTTTAATATATCTTCGTGTTTACAGTCATGGTTGTTCCAAAACTTGTAAGAAGCACTAAAAAAAAGAGAATATTTCAGTTTCTATAACGTATCATTCTAGTGCCCAATCTTAATTTATAAACTGGGATTTTTTCTCTGCATTTTTCGCTTTATGCTTAAAGCTGGGATGTTTGTAAAGACACGTACAATGTATAAGATTATTACAAAAGAGACTGAAGTATACAATGTATTAGAATATTACATTAGAGACTGAAGTAAACAAAGTATTATAACATTACATTACAGACTGAAGTATACAATGTATTAGAATATTACATTAGAAACTGAATAATACAATGTATTAGAATATTACATTAGAGACTGAAGTATATAATGTATTAGAATATTACATTAGAGACTGAAGTATACAATGTATTAGAATATTACATTAGAGACTGAAGAATACAATTTATTAGAATATTACATTAGAGGCTGAAATATACAATGTAACCAAAATCTTTGTAGGTTTAAGTATGTGCAGGTTAAAACAGTCAGACAAAATCTCAGTACCATCAGGTGTACCTTAAGGAACCTGTTTAGGCCCCATCATTTAACGACCCACCCAAATACATAAAACACAGCACCCTTGACTTTTGAAGACGTCAAGTTTATAAACAAAACATTCAAAATAACAGGGCGATTTTGTAAGAGGACATACACGTAGCAGGAAAATGGGCACAAGACTGGCTTCATCCTCAATGTTCCAGGAGTTACTCTTACTTCCCTTCTCTGCAACCCCAGGAATATGTCATAACAAAAATCGATGGTTCAGTGTGCACCACCTTGCGGATGAGACAAGAAGACTAGTTTGATCCGTTGATATACACCAAAAGAATATCGCAGCCGCGTAATAGTAAAATACACTAGCTTCGAAGTCGGGTGTCATCCCTTTGTAATCTTTTAAAGGATATGTATCAAACTCAATAGCACTTTACTCGAACGTCCTACCGACCAAATATAGAAAGCCTTTATATTTTGAATATCAAATAGGAAATTGTCTAAGCCTTAACACATTCGATCTCTGGTTATTCAAATATTATCGTTAAAGCATCGTGGTCAATATTTCAACACTTTTTACCCCTGTAAAACTAGGCCAGGGTCTTAAATGTGAACAAACTTGTTAACTTGGCATGCTAATAAACAAATATTACCTCCTATTATATTTAATTATTTAGAAAAAAAAATCAATCTTTGAAATGTTTCAATATTGTGACTAATAGCCAAATTCCATCACCTTAGACCTCTTTGTAATTCAGATGTTATTTGAAGATTTAAAAAGTTGAACGGTAGGATTTTGAAAAATTGAATATTAGGTTTTTGAAAAAGGATCAGTGTCGTTAAGGCCTTGATATGATCTTAGCATATACATGTTCATATTTCATTTATCTAATTGCCGTTTTCTAGCCAACTTACAATAATATCAGAAAATGTTCAGGGCTATATTTTGATCAACATCCCCCGATGCAGTCATTCGAAGGAAATATTACAATTTTCCACTTAACTTCTCCACTTAAGTCCTTGCCCCGGGTTTAATCATCATTTCGAGTACTTTGTTTTACTGCGAACACATGTATATCTATCAAAACAAATACTTCCTTATGGTATTTTCCGAATCTCTGAAATTGAATCAGTACATAGGACTGTAAAAGAACTGCAGTTTATAAAGATCTTCAGATATGGCCAGACGCATTTTAACACTCCTTGGAAATCAGCCTAGGCATTCTGCATTTTTGAAATAGTTGTTGCCTTGACCAAATGAAATGGACAGGTATGATTTCTATTCATTTTTTTTTTAAATCATGATAAGGTCAAAAATCTATTAACCAATTAAGTCTTTAATCAATATGAAAATGATTCCACTTTCTAATGTGTTGTTGTTCATATATATATATTAGCTCATCGTATATATTTTAATTCATCATATATGTATTAATTCATCTTATATCTGTTTATTCATCATATTTGTATTATTTCATCAGGTATGTATCAATTCATCAGATATGTATATTTTCATTTTATCAGATATATAATGTATTACTTCCTTTTATGTCTATTAACTCGTCATATATTTATGAATTTATCATGTATGCATAAATTCATCTCATATCAATGAATTATTCATATATCTGTTGAATCATCAAATATATATACTGTTTCATCAAAAAGGATCACTTTAAGGAAAATGTATTTGATTACTTACGGTCTTTGTAATATAGTACATTATGAAAACCTTTGTAGTTCCTCATAGGAGTTCACAAATTTGATCCATGTGGCCTTGAAACTGGGTCAATATCAATTATTTGAATACACGTTTTTAAACAAACATGATAGCCCTTTATCCCAGCTAGTTTAAGGACAAATATCAACAGTCTACAGCTCTTATTTAATTCAAAAGTTATTTTATGAATATTGATACACAGTTGAATCATTAGACATTAAAAACGAGTCGAGGTATTTTATTTGAAAAAACATAATAACCTTTCATAACAGCATTGGTAATGTCACTAAAGATTTTAATCATTTGAACCCTATGACCTTGAAAAAGGGTCAAAATCGTTACGGCGTTGATCTCAGCGTTCAAATGGTCAAACGTCATCCACATTATGCCTCTCTGATATTAGGGGGGGGGGGTTCTTTACAGGATTTGGAAAGCTCTTTAGGCCAGGTGACCTTAAAAGTCGACGTTGCACGGACGGAGAAAGGATTGATGACGAACCTCCCCCTCTCCCCTTTCCCCAAAGAGGTCTCCTAACAGGGAAGTATTTCAATTTTCCACGAAACCTCTCCTTTATGGTGGAAATTACTTTCCCTGTGTCTGATCATCAGATCCCGTGTACTTCGTTGTACTGCGAACACATTTATATTTAATAATACAAATACTTCCTTATGGTATTTTCCGAATCTCTGAAATTGAACCAGTACAGTTGACTATAAAAGAACTGTAGTTTACATAGATCTTCAGTGATGGCCAGACACATTTGAACACTTCTTGGAAATCGGCCTAGGCATTCTACCTTATGAAATAGTTTGCTTTCTTGACCAAATGAAATGGACAGGTATGATTTTTATTCATTTTTAGCTTACCTAGTCCAAAGGACCGTGGTGAGCTTATGCCGTACCGCTGTGTCGGTCGTCTGTCCGTCAACTTTTCATTTAAAACGCTACTAGTCCTTAACAGCTTTATGGATTTTGAAATCTGGCCTGGAGCATCCTTAGCCAAAAGGGATTAAATATTGTATAAATGGAGGGTGTGACCCCTCTGGTTGCAGAGGAGCTGGACCCAAGAGGGGGATTTGATGCTTAAATCTTTAAAATCCTTCTTCTTCTGTACCATTAGAGGGGCTTTATCCAAATTTAGCGTGGCGCACCCATGGGTTAAGGGGACTAAATGTGTATTGACAGAAAGGCGTGGCTTCTCTGAGTGCGGAGGGGCAGGGCCAAATAGGGGAATTTGATGTTTAAATTTTCAAAATCCTTCTCCTTCTGTACTACTGGAGGGATTTTATCAAAATTTGGCCTTGAGCATTCTTTGGCCAAATGGACTACATTTTATATATAAGGAGGGTTTGGCCCCTCTGGGTGCAGAGGGAGGGGCCGAATAGGGGAATTTGAGGTTTAATATTTACTTCAAAATCCTTCTTCTTCTGTACTATTAGAGGGATTTTATCCAAATTTGGCCTGAAGCAACCTTTTGCAAACGTGAATTAATTGCGTATAAAAGGAGAGTGTTGCCCTGATGGGCAGGGCTTAATAGGGGAATTTAAGGTTTATATTAATTGATCAAACACAATGTTTATGTATTAATTAGGGCTTTAACGGGTGACAAGACCTATTTGTATTTGTTCTGTTTATTCTTCTTCTTCTTCTTCTTCTTCTTCTTCTTCTTCTTCTTCTTCTTCTTCTTCTTCTTCTTCTTCCTCTCCTCAAGATCTTGAGACCAACTTTCCTTCTAAATAGTTATAGGCACGAACATGATATTTTGCCAGGTTGTAGGTAATAGTTTGGAGATGTCATGGCCAAATTTTCAAGTTGATCAAAAATTCAATATGGTCGCCATGGCCTATAAAGTGATTTGTTTACCTATTTAGCTCACATGGCCATGCCATGGCAAAGCGTCCGTTGTCCGTCCTCCGTCGTTCATCAACTTTTTCCTTTAAAACGTTACTAGTTTTTAACGGCTCAGAGGATTTTGACCAAATTTGGCCTGGAGCATCATTGGCCACAGGGTTCTAAGTTTTGTATAAACGGAGGGTAAGGTCCTCCTGGGGGCAGGGACGGGGCCAAATAGGTAAATCTATAAAAAATCTTCTACTTCTCAACCAATAGAAGGATTTTGATTAAATTTGTTCCAGAGCATCTTTGGACAAAAGAGCCTCAAGTTTGTATAATCAGAGGGTGTGGCTCCTCTGGGGTCAGAGGTGTGGGGCCAAATAGGGGGAAATAGAGGATTTTTTCTCACCTACAATACAAGTGAAGGGATTTAAACCAAATGCAGTCTGAAGCATGCTTAGGGACAAAAGAATCAATTTTGAATAAAATGAGTTGTGTGGGCCCCTTCTTTAGGGCAGATGGATGGGGCCCATGAGGGGAAATAGAGGAAAACATTATAGATCCTTCTCCTTTTGTACCGATGAAGGGATTTTGACCAAATTTGGTCTGGAGCATCATTTGCCAAAGGATTCTCAGTTTCATATAAACAGATGGTTTGGCCCCCTTGGCGCAGAGGGGCGGGCCAAATAGGGGGAAAATAGGGAAATCTGTAAAAATCTTCCTCTTCTCAACAAATTAAAGGATTTTGACCAAATTTGTTCTAGGGCATCTTTGGACAAAGGAGCCTCAAGTTTACATAAAAGGAGGGTGCGGCCCCTCTGGGGGCAGAGGTGTGGGACCCAATTGGGGGAAATACAGGTATTGTTTTCTCCTACTACACAAGTGAAGGGATTTAAACCAAATGCAGTCTGAAGCATACTTGTTTTAGAGCATCTGTTGGCAAAGGGAATTTAATATATATAAGTGGAAGATGTGCCCCCAATGTACATTAATGTACTGATAGAGTGTTTATTATTGACTTTGATCTTTTTGAAAAGCTGACAATATTTTAAGAAACTTCAAAGATCTTCTTCTACAAATCTGCCATTACCATATTAACCACAATTGGTACATGTTTTCTTCTGGATGCCCTTACGAAATTATGTTACTTTTTGGAGCAATTGATATTCTGAGATGGCCGCCACAAACTCTGATTTGTTAACAGCCTATACCGATATATTTCGTTAACGATATCTTTTTTTGTTTGTTTGTTTGTTTGATTTTGTTTAACGTCCTATTAACAGCTAAGGTCATTTAAGGACGGCCTCCCCTGTGTGCAAGATGCATGCGTGTAGTGTATGTGTGTGTATTTTGGGAGGCTGCGATATGTTCGTGTTTGTCTCCTTGTGATAGCGCGGAACTGATGCCGACTTTATAGTGCTACCTCACTGAGACATACTGCCGAAGACACCCAGCAGGACGCCCCACCCGGTCACATTATACTGACAACGGGCGAACCAGTCGTCCCACTCCTAATTTGCTGAGCGTTAAGCAGGAGTAGACACTACCATTTTTAAAGACTTTGGTATGTCTTGGCCAGGGGACAGAACCCAAAACCTTCCTCACAGGGGCGAACGCTCAACAAATGGCCAAAAGTGAGGCATTGTCAAGGGAGACATTAGGAAGATATCAAGCACGAGATTGATTTTTGTATATCATTTAATAAGAAGCAAGGGCAAACTTTTTCTCTCATATTATTTTAGCAAAAAATGTCAACTTCCGGTTTACGCTAGGGGTCAAAGTTCAAATGCAAAATGCGCTATATTGGATATCAAATTTAAATAAAACATTTCTTAAGCTCTACGAGGTGTAGAGTTTTGAATTTTAATATATTAGATGCTGAGATGTCCAGCTATCAGGTGTGAAAAAATGGTTGACCTTGATCAACTATGAAGGTCACAAAGGTCAAATCCCCCCACCCCCACCCACCCCACACACACACACACACACCCACACACACACAATCAGATATGTATGAATTTAACTCATTCATCCCTACATATTTAAACTGGACTTGCCCAGACTTTGATTCGGAAAGGTTCCAATGTGATATTAGGGGTGAGTGGGTTAAGTAAAAACTCAGTTGATATACTAATGTCACTGTTACGGGGAACATAATACATTACGTCAGGGATTAACCCCCATAGGACGTTAAACAATACTAAACCAAACAAACAAACCTTTGGTTGAATTTCCGTATCACCCTCCTCTACATTTAATGTATGACTCTTTTTCTCCCAAATTCTTTTCAAGAGTTAATGAAATTTGACAATGAAAGAGCAAAACGAAGTATGGAATACCAAAAATGAATTTAAAAACTCAAATGTAAAATGTGTAAAATAAAAATTAAAACAGTTGGCAAAAGCTTCATATAAGGTTGTTTGATAATTGCTTATTTTCGTGAGGCGATATCAGATGCCGACTGTGTGTTGGCGGTATATATTCTACTGCTGACCAAAACATCTTAATTGTCTCCCGTATTACCTGTTTACGATTTCTCTCTCAACCCAAAGGGCATGGAGTCTCTGTCAGTCCATACATATATAGAGGATATGCGGAAAGAAACGATAAGATTTCGTCTCCACAACAATAAATTATGATGTAACAATCAGCTTTGGACTGGGACGAGTCGATTGCAACTCAGAATAAAACATAAATTACAAATTCTGATAACCTTTTTCTCAAATACAGTATTGATAGGATAGGAGAAAATGCATTGAGGTTATTGCCGAAACATCTTAACCCTCGGGATGAGATTGTTGAATGTCTAACCCTCTACTTGAAGCAAGCCTCTGGTTAGAAATGAATAATAGCATAGGCCATATGTTTTTTTTTTACCCTGGACAGCTGTATCCTTGTCGCCCCATTCATAACAATTTTATGACGCAGCGTCAACAATGCACAACGCCACATCATCAATACATTGAGCCTGGGTTGTTAACGTTGCATTACAAATATGACAGGGTCAACAGAGCTAGAGAAAAAAGTCTGTCGCCCCCTTAAGGGGGAGATTGGGAATCTGAATCTTCGGATAAAGATTTTAAGCTGCCAAATCACTCGGCAAGCCTCGTGTTTAGAAACTTAAGAATATTCCCCTCGGTTCGGGATTCCCATATCTCAACCCTAAGGTGGTATAGGTTTTGTTATTCTTCACAATGCAGAAGCGAGAGGCAGAAAGTATTTTCCCATCTTCATTTATTATTTCCTGTAGAACAAGGGATTCAATGTAGAGCTCGACGTATCTTTGTATGTCACTAGTATGCAATACATTTGCAATGCACATCTTTTCCCCAAAAGTAATCTATCGTCATGTACGTGTTAATAAATATTGAACAGTACAACGTCAATAAATCAAATAGGCCATTGTGACTTATATTTCCGCATAAACTGATTCATCACAGTATGCTTCAGTTAATCAAATGGGAATATACATGTTCAATTGTATGAATTTTTGCTTTTGTGTTGCTTTATAAATTATATTCTTTTGTTTTGCAGACTTCGCCGACATATAGCAATAGAGGGTCCTCCGTGGGATATTGAAAATATTTCTGTGTTGATCTCAAGATTGATTGAAAGGAATATGATGGGGACAGAGGAGGACATTCGATTCAGGAGGAGAGCATTACTTATACGTGAATGCATAATTAACACTACCAGCAGTGATTGTAATATACTGATGTGCGGAAGTCAAAGTGAAGGACTTTACATGCTTGGTTCAGATTATGACTTCATGTATGTAATCAATAATGTGGTGGCCTTGTATCTTGGACAGATTGTTCCTCCAGAAGACGCACACAAGACTGTGCTGTATGTGAGAGAGTCTGACTGCCGACCTGGATATGTGACCTTACAGTTCAATCATATTGGACCAATTAGGGATATCCCTCTATGTAATTCACTTGTACCAGTTGGAAATGTTATATTTGTCTCTAGTGACATGTACAGAGAACAAATTGTCAACCAACGAACAACGCAAACAGGAATTCGTCATGTATCTAATGGTCCAAGCTGTTCAGTTGAAGATTTTGATTTTGTCCATTGCTTTCACTTTAACAGTTGGCCAAGGGAGGCTTACCAATGGGTGACACGTCCACGCCTGTATGGATGGCCAACACAAGCATTGATTGACAAAATTGTACAAAGTGGTTCTCATCTTGTCCCAGTAGGGGACAAATGTTCCGAAGACACGCTTTTACAGTGGCGGATATCGTTTGCGTCAGCGGAGATACTATTAGTTCACTCTTTTAGTCACATACAAATGAAAACGTACTGTTTCCTGAAATATTTCTTAAAACAAATGAAAGATACACTTCGAGATATCATTGGGAAAGAAGATGATGATATTTTGTGTTCTTATCATTTACATAAGTATTGCAGTGGAACACTCAAATCCGAAGCTCTGGCAAGAACAAAATCTGTTTTATTGTTTCTGGTTTTGCTTCAACATTCTGATCTCTTGTGTTAAAGTAGGACACTTTCCAAAGTACTTCATCCCTACCAATAACATGTTCCAGAGAAAGGTTCATGGAGAAAATCAACAAAAACTATTACACATGCTGAACATATTTCATTCAGAGAAGTTACTTTGCCTTTTACATACATCTAGGCAATTCAGTGAGGTTAGTATGCTGAAACTTGTTTGTAATTTTGAAATACAAACCGAACTAAATCGTACACAAACTGTACAAGAAATGGAGTACAAACAGGATATGAATATTAAACGAACGCTGGAGAGAACGGTGCTTTCCTCCATGTTTTGCACACCTCTGTCAATTACAAGATCAATTAATGTACAAATGAAATCTGTTTCGGAGCTAGATGAAGTAACCGCTTTTGCGACTACTGTAGATATAGTATCGAAGGCAACGAAAAGAGAAGTCCATCAATACCATATCGCAGGGCCTGCCAACAACAAGACCAGGTATCGTACCTTGAGGAAGTGTCAACACCGACTGACGCTATGTGCTTCAATGGGTACATACCTGCTGGACTTGGCAACTCTGCACTTCCTGACAGGTAATTACTTGAAAGCCCAAGAGATGTGTGGACGCATAACTTCACAGCCATCGTATTTCACTCATACTAGACACTGCTTACCACAAAATCAAGCAGAAATATATAAGCAGCAATACTGTGGAAAAGGATACACCTCAATTCATAAACTGAAAAAAACATTCACCAGGCATATCCATCTGGAAAAAGATACTATACACCTACCCCATCTCCGCTCGGAGATATCAAGAAGCCTATGCGGTGTGTTTATTCCGCCACTACCGTATGCTGCGTTCTTGTCTTTCATGAGCTGCAATGAGCTCAAGGACAGAATAGGATGTGACGTATCACTACGAAACCTGATACAGGTCAAGTACGATGACCTTCAAGGAGGACATAGCCATTGGATAGTGTATACACTGCTGGGACTATGCTACCAGACGTTTGGGGACTATCCCAGGGCCATCCGTGCTTACTGGGACTCAGCTCAAACAAAGACAGAGTATCATGAGCAAAATCCTGCACTGGAGAGGATCGCAGCTATACAGAGATTTAACACTGAGTAAACAATTGTTTCTAGACTCTGGTATATTGTTTCTAGTCTACTTTTATAATATCCAAGTAAAATAATGATTGAATAAGAAAAAATTGTGAGGAGAAAGTGAAAACGATCTACTTCAATCAAAACACGAGAGGCCCACGGGGCCTAAAGATGCCCACTGTTCATAAGTGGCATTTCTATTCACGAATTCCCTAAAACTGTATATCAGCACACCACTAGCTAAAATATATGACTCGATGCCATTTTAGTTCCTCAGAAGTCGATTGAAAATTTTAATAAATTTGACCCCTTTGACCTTAAATTTCTGTCAAAATCACTTTTAACAAACTCTGCAACACAATAAATCAGCAAGCTGTTGGTCAAGTTTATTGTCAGTATGACTTTACGTTCTTTAGTTTGGGTGTTTTAACAAATTTGAACCCTGTAAACTTGAATATGGGTCAAGGTCATTTCTTTTCAAAATGCATATGGCACTACGTTTCAGCAAGATGTAGGCCATCTATCAATGACTCAAAGCATTATTATTAATAAGAAGAATCTATATAAGTTTGGTTTTTTTCCTATATGACCCTCTGTGACCTTGAATATAGGTTAATATTACTTCTTTTCTCAAACTTTGTAGCACTTATTGCAAGCAAGCCACTAACTATACATCACGAATCCAGGCCTTTTGGTGTTGCAGATCATACAGTTCAAGTGTTCAGCATATTTTACCATAGTGGCATTGAATATAGGTCAAGGCCATTTCTTTTCACGATTTTTTTACTACTCTTTTTAGCAAGCTACTGGAAACATACAAACTTTATGGTTTTTGATTCTTCAGACAAAGCTGTTACGATAGGCTTCGCAATGCTAGCAAGCAAATTGCGATATATCATGACTCTGAACCGTTTGGTTCATTTTTGATAACCCATGCCGCCAAGCTCTTGGCATTGTTCATGAAATGCACCACCGGGACATTCTGCACAGTAAAGCTGGATATTCAAAATGTAGTGATGTCTGGGCTCTATACCGAGCTTGTAGAAACCGTGTATTGGTGAAGATAAGACAAGCCAAGGCTGATTGTTTAGAGAAGGCTATTACCCAAAACTCTCATAGTTCTAAAGATGTTTGGGGGAAAAAGACTTTTTTACTAGTAAAAAAAAAACACAGTTATACAATTAAACGTGATGTTGAGGGTAAAACTGTTTCAGAAAAAACTTGATATTGCAAACACTTTTATTGACTTTTTCTGAAATATTGGTACTAAGATTGGGGAGGAATTCGATGACAGTTTACCTGATGTTGAAACGTTTGAAACTGAAAACCAATATGCAATACCAAAAATTACATCTGATTTTATTTACAAGTGTTGATGGTATGTCGGCAAAGTTATCTAAAAGTGCCGGTCCTTCAATTCTGTCACCAATTTTGTTTGTTCAATAAGGCAATAACTGGAGGTGTATTCCCCACTGAGTGGAAAAAGACCAAGGTTGCTCCCTTTTTTAAAGCTGGTGACCCCACTTCTGTCAATAAATATAGGCCTGTGGCGGTATTATCGGGTCTATTCAAAATATTATACATGACACTTTTTATGATTTTTAACAAGAAACAAACTAAAAAGTGACTGTCAGTTAAGTTTTATACCACATCATTCTACAGAACCAGAACTTCTAAGTTTTGTTGTTAAATGGCTTAAAAATATAGATCAATGCTATCTCACGTGTGTCCTCTGTATTGACCTTCGTAAGACCTTTGATACGGTAAATCATAAGGTCACAGGCCGTAAGATTCGGAAATATTTTGTCCAACTTTCAACCAATAAATATTGGTGTCCCGCAGGGCTCAATTTCGGGACCACTGATTGTTAATATTAAATATAAATGATTATTCTAAGTGTCTGAAGCATGCATCAGATATCATGTTTGCTGATGATACTACCCAAGATGTCAATAATAAGACTGTTAAAGTGTTAGAAGAAAAAATGACACATGATTTAGAATGCACTATTAAATGGATGAAAGACAACAAACTTAGTCTGAATCTGGAAAAAAACCCACTCAACGTATGATGGTAGTATATGTCCAAACACCTAAATGTAGTGATCTTGTAGTTAAGATTGATGATTTTACTATTGAAACTGTTAAACGGGCCAAACTTCCTAGTGTTTTTAAAGATAACTGTTTCATGAATAATGGGCCCGTCTGCATGCAACTGTTCTCATGCTCAAACAACAATAAAAAAAGTTTTATTTAAACATTGAAAACAATATTAAGCTTTATGTCTCTGCGATCTTTTTCCAAATTGAAAATTAATTCATAACTGAAACGAGAAATTAGCTTTGAGCACAAAAAAAAACATGCTTGAGCATGAAACGGTTTCATGAATACGGGCCCAGATCCTGATCATTTAACACATGTCTGAGTTAACGCCAAATGTTAATTTGCATTCATTATTATATTTACAAGATTAGTGTATTCTGTTAATATTGTTGAACTTTTTTTAGACATTCATCTTTTTAATTCAGCACGCAATAAAAACAATAAAACTGTTCAGTAAAAACGAGTGTAGTGTCTTGTATGTGGAAATGTGTTTTTATCCAAACATATACCTTATGGTGATCAAATTCGACATTAATCATTATCGATGACAAAGCGTACCCTTACCACTGCCAAAAACTGTGGTTTCACATTGGAAACTGTTCATTTCAGAACTTTAAAAATATATTTGAAGATGATAGAAACAAAATATAATCAACAAACAGAGTTCCAAGACTGGGGACCAGCAATGGTCCCTGAATAGTTTGTGTGCCAGATTGGGGACCAGCAACGGTCCCTGGTTTGTTTGTGTAGGAGATTGGAGACCAGCAAGGGTCCCTGGTTAGTTTGTGTAGTAGATTAGTGACGAGCAAGGGTCCCTGGTTAGTTTGTGTAGCAGATTAGAGACGAGCAAGGGTCCCTGGTTTGTTTGTGTGGCAGACTGGGGACGAGCAAGGGTCCCTGGTTTGTTTGTGTGGCAGACTGGAGACCAGCAAGCTTAATGGTCCCTGGTGGGTTCCCACTCTCTTTCCTGTTACTAAATGTGGATGCGGCCCTCCCTGTGGTGACAGGGAAGTTGTAATAGTGTTGTTGTGGTGTTCAATTATAAACACATTTCAAAGAGAAGGGGCATGGAAGTTTTGTAAATTTAAATTGTACAAATGATGACTGTCACCTTCTAGCTTAACATTGGAGGGAATTTCCCTTAAGCTCAATCAGAGTGGAAAGCTGAGGTGACTGGGGTCAATCAAGTTACTGGGGTCACTGGTGTTTTCCTTGCTGGAAGCACACTTCTCTCTTTCCTATTTTACACTTTTAATATGCATTGTAAGCGTCTCACAATGTATGATGGGATATTGGAGAGTGATTGATTGTAATATTTAATAAAGTGTTATATCTCAATGAAACTGGTATACTTCAAAAAGAAAATTTACATGAAAGGTAAAAAATGTTGGCTTGTTATTGAATCAGACAAATGGTTCAGATAGACATGTATGTTAATTTAACAAATGTAATTGTTTTAACCTTCATAGAAGACATTATTAAAATAAATAAAATCACGCATTTTTAGAATTGTTTTTAGGTCACCTCACCGCAGGGGAAAATGAAGCTTTCGCCTTATTGCAACGTCTGTCATGAACTTTTTGAGCATGAGAACAGTTGCATGCATATCATACGGACCCATTATTCATGAAACCGTTCTCATGCTCACAGATTCTGTGCTTCAGCCCAATTATTTGTTCTCGTGGTAAATGTCAAGAAACAAACTAAAAAGTGACTGTCAGTTTACTTTTAGACCACATCATTAAGTTTTGTTGATAAATGGCTTAAAGACATAGATCAATACTATCTTACGTGTGTCCTCTCTATTGACCTTCTTAAAACCTTTGATACGGTAAATCATAAGGTCACAGGCTGTAAGTTTCGGAAATATTTTGTCCAACTGGTGTCCCGCAGGGCTCAATTTCGGGACCATTGATGTTAATATTAAATATA